ATTAAAGCGTTATTGGTAAGGACCAAATTAAAATTAAGAGATGCTGTGCCTCGGGCGCCATATATGGATACATAAGAGATACCATTCGATTACAGTGAAAAAACGCAGTTGCTCTGAGTTGTGCTAATGTAATTGTACCACAGGGGACTACGATTACTATTTTACGTCCGGTGCTAGAGCCGTTACGCATTACTTCAGACACCTAGCCGTCTGAAGCCGTTGGTATACTAACTGGCATACACGGAATCATATCTGCCAGGAATTATCAGCCAGTGAGTTACACATTCAAAGGCGGTAGATTAAATGGGTGCAAAAAGAAAGCTTGAAAATGTATGGATTATCTCAACTATAATGCGTATTTTAAAAGGGAGGAACAGACTGCTTATTTTGATCTCTAGCTACTTCGTGACGGATTGTAATTATAGTGAAGAAACGTTCACTACATTAACTTTCCAATGAGCAGACTTTTATAAATACTAGCTATCACTGCAACTTGAATTCACTACGCTGAAAACCGCTACGTTCTTCTTTACAGAAAAATTTATCCTAGGCCTCGGCTGGCAATTCGAATCAACGATGTCAACAACGGCGGCAAGCTCGTGGAAGATGTAAGCAGGAGCGAGCAGACGCCAAAGACACTTCTACACTTGGCTTAATTTACGTAGGGCTCCATCGCTTAATACAGACGATCGGCGTTGACTACTAATCAATACACCGAATTAGATTTAAGCGGATTCATTCGGAATTAGCGTAAACGCTACTTCTGTTCCGCCGATAACAATAGAATTATTTGCGATTATATTGTTTATAAATAGTTTCTCTATTCAATGATGAAATGATCTGCATGTACATTAGCTACGACAGCCTTTATTTGCGTAGGTTTTACTATGTAGTGTCATTACAGTTTTGGTTTAGAGGGGACGTATTCGATACGATCACTCGATAAGGCAAATCGTTCATCCACGCAGCCATCCGTTTGTGAGACCTCGACTTCTCACGAACTACATGATTTGAGTGAGATTCGTTTTTGAGTAAGAACTCAATGTAATTTGCTAATGCAATGTGCTTTAGAAAAACTGTACCAAGTAAGTTTATAGATGTTCTCATAACTTGATGTAACTTTCAAGCTACACGAAGTAGATTTGGACACGCTACGTGTTGTCCAGCAGCAGATGTTTCTTCTAAATAACCATTTTTTCCGTTCTGCTCCTGTATCAATGTCCGATAGTCGTCTTTCATGTCGTTCAGCTTTGTGCATTGCCAACAGAGACGCGAGTAACGGTTCGCCTCGTGTCAGAAGCGTAGATATTATCTGTGCGGGGAGAAACCGGGGATGTTAAGCGTTCGAGTGCGTCTGATATCTCCATCAACGATACCAAGGATAACAGTCGACTACATCCTGCAGGGAGGCAAAAGCACTTATACTTATTTCTGTATCAAGCGTCGGCTAAGAAGCGCTAATCTTGATCCCCTGTTATGAGTGATATAAGGGAGATATGATAAGGGAGGTTAAGAAGATTCTCCTGGCGACAATCTTCCTAACCTCCCTTCTTACGCGTTGTTATCAGGAGCTGACTGTTTCGGCGTTTCTGAATTAACTTGGATGGGCTGGATATCAAGATCGAACGGATAACAAACGAAGTGGACGGAAGTTAGGCATCGGTATCGATGACGTTGGCTCAAAACAGCACCGAGATATTCGTAGTTTAATCCGTGCACAGCCTAAAAGCGTGTCGAACTATACGGTGTGAAATTATCACATGCCGTGTCGATCAGTCATAGCTGGACTGCTTGTCGTTGGGGTAGCCGCATGAAGCATGAAAAAATCTACAATTCGTTTTCGATTCGGGCGATTTAAAAAAACTGCTGCTCTATTAGATTCATCTACGCAATACGTGAACAGAAGAAGCGTGGCCGTTCTATGCGCCGACGGCTTCCTCCCAAAGATACAATGCAGTTACTCGCCAGTGAAGAGGGTGGGTAACGACGAGCGGGGTTCATTGCATTATGAATTTCAGTTTCAGTCAATAGACTGAAACTTTGCAACAGTGCCAAAAACATACCGGTTTTTCCATGATTTCTCGTTTACTCTACTTTGATTCCAATCTCATCGCTGTAAGAAAATATAACACTTTTTTAAATGTTATATTTTTATAATGATGATGTAAAAGAGAGATGAATGACGACATTATTAATCTAGCTGGACAAGCTAACAGGACATTAGCTAAACAGTATTCGTGTACTTCACGCCAATAAAATTGGGGGCCAATAAAAACATTGAAACAGGGTCTTCAAATTCACACCCCCTCCCCCTACGATATCGACTGATTATACGAAAACATGTTTTATAGTCAACTTCAAGGCGAGAAGGCTTCAAGAAGAGAGGCGTCATAAATTCGATGTTTACCAAAGTGTGACCAAACTATTATGAGCTGCCAGATTCTTTTTCTACCCTAAAGCGTAGGATGTTAGCGATCTGCTAGACACCGAAGTGCGTTCAGACTACTAAAGATCCTGTAACGACCGCCTACGTGCTATAATGTTACATTGATAAACAATGAACTTAGACACCTGTAAATTGCATTCAGTTGAATCATACTCTCTGTCTCGCCCATTTCTATTCAGCCAATATCGACAGTTGCTCTTTACTACGCGATGACTTATCAAACCAAATCTAAGCAAAAAAAAAAAGGCAGATTTAAATGCATATATTCTGAAACCTGATTAGTATAAACTGCCACTGTGTTTATTTTGCGGAACAGCGCTAAACTTTGAAACTACTTAAGATTATGATGATGTTTCAATGGAAATCCCTTTCGAATTAGAATCGGAAATGCTTCGCTTTCTGAGGCCAGCTTCGGTTATATCATCTGCTAGTTCTGATTTTCTGCCGCTAAACGACAATCAATTTTTCCATCACATACTCATTATCGTGGGGCTACTGATGCTAAGTCATCATTTTTTGGGACTTTGGTCACTTTCTGCTCTGATGTAACCCCAAGTCGACGACCTTGTCCATCGTCCAGTCATGCGATTCAAATATATTCGATCAAATGTAACTGTGGCACCTGTTACTCACTGCTAATTGATTTCTATTTACATGATGCTATCAATTATAGATGACTTTGGAGACAGTTGGGAGTTTGTGCTATGGATGCGATTATTTGATTTACTAGAGCTCCAAAGTCAGTTCCAGAATTGAGATAACTTCAGAACGCCACTGAGTTGCGCGTTGTTACGTTCGTCAGCCGAAAACCGAGACGTCTTCAAAGATTTATTTCATAAGCACACGATGCATAAATACAAACACATCTATTTATTGTACTAATCTATGATTGTTATCACAAACTAAACAACAAAAATCTGCAGAGAAACAAAATTGGCTACTAGCAGCACCAGCAGTCGAAACGTGTCGCCATAGAAATGGGCCTTCTATAGCGTGGTAGAAGAAGTACGCTGCTTAAATAAACCCACTGATCAGACAAACGCGAGCATGCAGAATACAATATCTTCTCGCTCGAAGTGTCCTGCGGTGACAGTCAACCAGCAGGACCGCGAGGTGCCAGTAGGTGAAAATGATCATATTAACCGTTAACCCACTATTACCGTAACAATAGGAGAAGTTATATTATTATAACTTCTCCTATTGTTA